CTTTTATGATACCACAACAAAGATTTATAAATTGTATATATTCACTTCCACCATCCAGTAGCCTATAGTTACACTCCTATAATGAACAAAAAAGAATGAATAATGCCAATATGAAATAAATATGTTTCTATTACTAAATTTAAAAATTCTTACTCCAAGTCTATCAGCTATTGTAGCTTTCTGTTTATCTGTTAATTCATTGGAATATATAATTTTTTCACTCAATTGTTCAATTACCTAAAAAGATACATAGACTTTAAAATACTATAGTGATATTTAAGTGTTTATATGAAATAAAAATATTTACTTGCGATGTGGCATGTGCTTCCAACATGAAGTTATCAACAAAAGCTTCTGCCTTGCTATAATCTTTTGTTTTGCACACATCCAATAATTCATCCAAACATTTATCAGGAACAATCTGTAGGTTTTTAATTAGTTCACATTAATATAATGATAGTGCAATTTATACAGAACTAAAAAAAAGAAGGAACATAAGTTACCCCAATAATTTCAAGGACATCATCAATAGTGATTTCAATTCCTTTACCCTTTAACCTTGTAATAGATTGTAAACATGTTATGGCACGTCTTAAATCTCCTCCTGAAGCTTCTACAATCTTTAGTAAAACAGGCTTTTCTGCCTTCAGGTCCTCTTCTTTACATATGTAAACTAATCTTTCAATAATTTTTTCTTCTCCAAGTGGTTTGAATCTGAACTTTGTACAACGAGAAGTTAATGGTTCTATGATTCTTGAAACATAATTGCAAATCAAACAGAAACGTGTACTATGTGATTCTTTTTCCATGGTACGACGAAGTGCAGCTTGTGCTGCACTAGTCATGCTATCTGCTTCATCAAGAATAATAATTTTAAAAGGTGGGCAGCTTTTCCCACTAAAAACAAAAATGATTACTGTTATAAATGTTTTTTTTCCATTCTGTATATAATCATTATATCTTAAGTGCCTCAGATTGTGCCGTTCTCATAGAAATCACTTGAGCACAGCAATAGATTGCTAAAGAATCATAAGTATTTTATTTATTTGCTGTTAAAGCAGAACCAAAAGTTTAAAACTTTACAATACTTCTGGGATAACCTGCCTATAGCATTTTATTGTTTAGTTGGCAATAAGAATTACTAAAAAACTTCATTATAACTCCTGATAACAACTATATTCTTCAAGCAATCTTCATGCTTAGCTTCAAAGTGATTCTCAAACCTTTTACTAAACATCACGGAATTTTTATTTCTAATTTACTGAAAAATATTAATGTACATGTTATATATAGATAATAGGAAAGTAAACATACTCATCTCTCATGCCACCAGCAGTAAGCTGAGCAAAGGACTTTATCTTATCTCTCACAACTTGGATACCTCTCTCATCTGAAGCATTCAATTCCAATATTCTTTCTTTATAGAGACTACCAAACAATTGTCTGGATGCCGCCAATATAGTACTTGTTTTACCAGTTCCAGGAGGACCATAAAATAACAAGTTTGGAAAATCACTACCTTTCATGCATTGCTTTAATACTTCAACTACTTCCCCTTGTTCAACTACATCTTCCACAGTTCTGGGACGACTGAGAAATCACAAAAATCTTAAAATTTATTGTATGTCTGTCCAAAACTTCTTACAATTAAGGTTACACCAAAATGATGCTTACTATTTTTCAACCCATGGTGGTGCAGGGCCACTGCGTTCTTCTTTGGCACGAGAAGTCGAAGCCCTTTTCGGTTCTCCTGGTCCTAATTTTCCTGTTTTCAAGAAAGCTTGCATGCTTTCGTCACCTCAGAATGCATGGAACTTATCATAAAGTTAAACTTTAATTAATGGATGGAAATCCGTTCCCGCGCATTTTCCTGCCGAATCCACTTGAGCCAATACTTTAAGAAAACACCCCATAAAGACTTACGCTCCTGTGAATTACACTATACCTCAAAAATTCCCAAGTTGTTTTAGTTAAAATTGTAATTATAATTATTAATGTAATATAATATATTTAATATAAATATTTTGTACTTTGAATAACATCAAAATTAATTTTGAACACATCAAAGAAATTGAATAATCTTTTACTTTTGGAACCATTTACTTGTCGTCCTAGTTCCAAATTTCCCTTAGATTAGCAGCCATTTAGGCTCGTTACAAAACGAGCAAATTTGCCGTTTGTTCGTCGCGTATCGGCATTGTAAATAAAACGGAATGCTCAGCCGTATATTGGTTTATCATACGCATGATAAGGGAGAGAACGAACATTTTTGTTAGGATAGTTTAATCATTCTTATTGTGCAACGATTTATGTGTTTGAAGCTGTAGTTTTGTTCATTGAGATTACGTTTGTTGAATTATCGTACTGACCCCCATTGAAAATAGTTTGAAAAATTACAATCGATAATTGTAATATTCATTCAGTGATTGTCGAATGGGACTACGCGTGAAAGTTCATGTAGGATGGAGCGTAATAATCGACTTCACGCTAAAAGATATTTAACTTATGCTATGGATCCGATGCAATTCAATGTAAATTAAACGAGCATCAATACTGGCGTACTTTCTCATGTAGCGATTTCTCCTTTAAACATGTGATATTTTCTTCTTGGCCTTACCTCGACGCAACACGTTTAAATAATGGTGTTCTGGATTTTTTCTCTGATAGCAATCATTTTGCATTTCAGTTCTGCTCAAACTAGTATGTATTTGTTGTAAGGAAACATCATATACTATGAAAGAGAAAGTTGTTTGTTTATACTTTTTTTGCTTAACAGAACCAGAATCCCATGGTTATTGTTCACTTTATAGTGGACAAATCTGCAAAAAATACCTAGCTGGTATTGGGAATGGTATGGTATGGTTCAATGATTCTAACAATAATCCTGGAGGATTATTGAATGAACAGATTACCACCAATTTGTGGGAGGAATTGATACAGAAACTTAATGAACCATGTCGTTCAGCTGCAGAGGTAATATATTATAACTGAAGACTCAAACATTATAACTAATATTAATAACAGGGTCTAAACAGAATACATCTAAAATTCCTTGGACAAGTTTCAAGAATATTTGTCTGTTGTAGAAAATGTTGTGCATGTATGCTTTTCCACAATGTCACAATTCAGTCGGCCTACCATTATGTTACGAAGATTGCATGGCAGTGCGTCATCAATTCTGTTTCAATGATTGGGCAATGATAGAGGATAACAAGCAGAGAAAGATCTATATTAGATCAAGGGGACATTTTACACTTCCAGATTGTGAAACATTGCCAAAAATAGTTAAAGGGAAAGAGACTTGTTCGCACATACATTTGACTGATGTGAATGAAGAGCTAGTTACACGTAATACAGATTTCAGATTAATGTCATCTTGATTTGAAATGTACATTTCCTAAATTTTTTCTGATTTCAGATGATTGTGTCAAAGGCAATGGTAGATTTTATATGGGTAAAGTAAATAAAACAAAATATGGTTTGGATTGTCAGGCATGGAGTGCGCAAATACCCCATAGTCATGATAGACCACCAGATGTCTTCCCTCAAATTCGTGATGGTGAAAACTATTGTAGAAATGCTGGTGGAGACGAACCAATGCCATGGTGCTTTACCATGGATCCTATGATACGATGGCAACATTGTGATATTCCTATATGCGGTGTGCTGTTAATACTAAATGAAACATCTGTTTAAAACGTTTACATCAATTACTTTATTCTTCTTTTTACCTTTAATTTAGATAAGGTAACAAGTAAAGTATTGGAGGTCGACCCAAAAGATTTAACAATGGATACATTGTTTACTCCAATGTTTATACTAATACTGTCTTCATTGGGATTTATAATTATAGCTGGAACTGTATTATCAATTATTTTGAGTCACAGACTTCATAAACGACATCAAGGATACAATCCAACAAATAATCAGGTATATTAACATATATAATTTTTGCAAAGTATAGATAATATATGCATATAAACATGCCCAGAAAAATAATACTGAGTCTGGACTTATTGAATAATTATTTTGGTTCATATAATAGTGCATGCTCTGGATTACAATGAATGATCAGAATGATAATCATATGGAATTTTCAGTATATAACTATTGATCTGGATAAATTACCAAGCAACAATGCCTATCACAAGACAAGCGCGCAGCTTAATCCAAAGTTGGAGAAGCTTGAATTTCCTAGAAATAACGTTATCTATGAACGGGATTTAGGTCAGGGTGCTTTTGGTAGAGTGTTTCAAGCAAAAGCACCAGGTTTAGTTCCAGGCGAGGAATTCACTAACGTCGCTGTTAAAATGCTTAAAGATGAAGCATCAGAAGATCTGCTTAAAGATTTTGAGCGTGAAGCGTGTCTACTAGCCGAATTCGATCATCCGAACATTGTCAAATTGTTAGGTGTATGTGCGTTAGGTCGACCTATGTGTCTGCTCTTTGAATATATGGGCCGCGGTGACTTAAATGAGTTTCTACGATCTTGTTCACCTGGAAATTATATTATCCGAAGTTTGGAAAGGGATGAACATTTTACGGACTCTCGATTATCGCACATGGATTTGATTAATATCGCGTTGCAAGTGGCTTCCGGTATGGTGTATTTATCCGACCGAAAGTTCGTCCATCGGGATCTCGCGACCAGGAATTGTTTGATCAATGACCAAATGATTGTCAAAATAGCAGATTTCGGACTGTCACAAAAGATCTATCTGCAAGATTATTATAAAGGAGATGAGCAAGATGCCATTCCAGTTAGATGGATGCCTCTAGAGAGTATATTATATAATAAATACACTGTGGAATCTGATGTATGGGCTTTCGCAGTATGTTTATGGGAGATATTTAGTTTCGCTCTTCAGCCTTACTATGGAATGACTCACGAAGAAGTTGTAAAATACATTAAAGAAGGCAATGTTCTTCAGTGTCCAGAAAATACACCCCCTGCCATATATGATTTAATGAAACTGTGCTGGAATAGGAGACCATCGGATAGGCCAGCTTTCAGAACCATCTATAATACATTGGATACTATAAAGCACAATTTAGAAGCGGAGAATAAATCGGATAGTGTTCCGCTGCGTATTCACGTTTGAACCTGATAATAATTTGTACCAAATGGAAACTCTATGATTCATGAAATTAGAGATTAAGGCGATATTTATGCAAAGATAAAGGTAAGTGAATGGTAAGAATCGTACCTACGTGTTACGCGTAATTGCCTTTGTTATGTTTGTTGCGTAGCCTTGTAAAACAAACTGACTGAAGTGTTTATAAAAAACGTTTGATATTAGCAACCATTATGTTTACAATATTGAATACACATATAAAGCAAAATCGATGACCTTTTGATACAATTTTAAAAGCAAATGAATTTATGTACTCTTTTCATATTTTTGCTTGTATATACGTATATTGGATTGAATTTTCATTTTTGTTCAACTTTAATGAAAGTCCTTATCTACATTGTCCTTAGACTATGTTTACAATTAAAAGAATTACAATATTTGGGATAATTATATTGCTTTTGTAGATTATAAACGGTTATCTCAAGTTGTATTTATTAACAATTTACTTTTACTTATATTGGAATTACTTTGTGTCAGTTTCACACAAACATATGTATTATGTTTAAATCTATTGTGATTTCATGCATTCCGTCAACGAATTTTACAATACTATAACATATTACTGCCAGTAAGAGTATTAATGATGAACATACTGAGATAAAGATTTCAGTGGTAATATAGTACCAACACATACAATGTTTTTTGTTTAAATAAATGGACTGCAAATTTTTATATGTTGCAAGAACATAAATATTTGCAGTCTACTAACGAAACCACAAAACTTAATATATAAAGCAGCTAACAAAATAATTTGAACATATTTAGTATTAGTAGATTATCATTTTTTTCAGATGTATAAACAAAACCGATTTATTCAATAATCATTCTAAGAGTCTTTATCAATTTTTTAACACAACATGCTTCTAGCAAATTGTATATACGTATTACTTATTTCTCAAATTATGAAAGATGAAATTTTATACTTCATACAGTTTAAGGAAACATAAAAGTTAAAAAATTTCATCCTTATTATATAAAGAAAGTTTAATTTTTTCTTAAACGTTTTCGTAAGTGAAACAGTATTTATACAAATTTTACTATCTTGTTACTATCATTATTAAAAACTTGAAGACTGATGATACATTTTTTAAAAAATAAGTTTTAATATTATAAGTATACTTCTTTTTTTTAAATAATTTGTTTTATATCATTGTGAAGATTCAATTTTCTCGACATTCTGTGTACAAGACTACAACTGTGTTTAGTTCTATTGTTTGACTTGATCATAACTGTATACATATATCTATATATTTATATGCGTAATTATATGTATTAGCAAATACATTTGCTGTATTTCCTCACTTCTTCAGAACTGAAATATCTTAAGAGACATATGCTATGTTGGCAAACAGACTTTCCTATAGATATATATATATATATATATATATATATAAAACAACAAATAATGATGTTTCGCTGAAGCCTAAGACAGATAATACTGAATTTATATAGCTGTGCGAACAATTTGGCCATAAAAAAAGAATGGGTTTATATTTAGCGACGTTATGTGTAAACTGTCCTTAATTGTTAGATGTTAGATCGTTGCTGTACCAAAAACATAGCCTATTTAA